TACAATTTTTTCCTTAATTAATAATACTAGTTTAATAATGCATATTCAATGAGAGAAACAAATAATATCCTCTTCAAATTCCCACATAAATAGTATAACTTAAAAGAACTGCATCAATCTTATTTCCAACACAAAAGTGGGATAACTTGGTTTGACTGCTTTAAACAACCTATAACCAAAGAGCATATCTGACAATTCACCTCGGATAATCCAATTGGTTAAAGTAGAGAATAGACCAGCACGCATTGGGATGGATATCTTCTCCTTTTTGTCCATCTCAAGTTTCCTACCAAAGAGCAGAAACTTTGAGACTATATATGGTAGAAAAAACCCTTGCCTAGTTAGCACCTCACAAAGTCCATTTTCCCATCAACACACCTCGCCTAGTTAGCAACTCCTTTTCCTTCTTAGCGTGTTTAACTTTTCCACACCACCTACCTTTTTTTACTAACTTTAATGGAATGGTTGTGGCATTAAGCATGGCGTTTATGAAATGCTGACAATGCAAGCAATGATCTTGACGGGGGAGATGCAGATGCATACACATGAGGCACGTTTCTAAGCGTCATGGGGGTAGTTGTAAGGCTTTGAAATGTTTACTGCAGATATTTTAGTTCAACAATTAATCAATTAATGGTTTGAATTCATCAAGAAGTAACAATATTTGAATTATATATCATAATAATAATAATTAATATGTAAAAATAATTATTATTTATTATTATTATTTTTTTGAACAAATTCGTAAAAAACCGAATTCAAACCACTACTAGAATAAAGGAAATGCACTTAAACGTGACATGACGTTACTAAACTCAAAGATCCAAGTGCAATTATTATTTATTAATTAGTTTTATTTAAACTATTAATTTAAATAAACATTTTAAAAAAATTGCAAGAAAATAAAGAATTCAGTCAGAAAAAAATATATATATTTGCAACATCAAAAAGGGAAAAAAAAAGGAATTATTTCTCATTTAATTGTTTCACTCGATGCCCACATAAGTCCAAAATTTGTCATTTACAACCGGTTTTTTTATAGGGGTAATAATTAAAAGTTAAAAGTTAAGTTAATATTTTACTGATGATAAAATTCGATCATTGATCAAGAGTGCAATCCATCGGTAATCTTGTTAAACTGCAATAATCATCATTGAACCACAACGGAAAATATGTCATTTATAACCGGTTGTTTCTTTCCCATTAATAAAAAATATACACTGAAAATTAATTATAACCACCCACCATGCAATGAACCTCTTCAATCTCCCTGTATACAAAGAAAATTTGTCCGACGGTGAGTGTTTTGGTTTTTACATTTGGCAGTAAACTATATTAGTGGAAATAATTCTTTTTTATTTAAAATTTAAATATGAGATTTTTATTATAGAATTCTAAAATCTTAATTAATTGTGCTATTCCTTTAAAGGCATTTTTCTGTTTTGCTTTTTCCTTTTATAGCATAAGTATTAGTGTATAAGAAATTAGTTGGTTGATATTGTAAGCCTTTAAGCTTTAAATCCTTGATCTTAATTTAAATTAAGATTTTTTAATTAATAAGTACTAATTTAATTATATTTTTAATAACTTTATCAAAAAAATATATTTAGTTTGAGAAAACAAAAAAAGAGAACATACTAATTTAATTGGATAAAAATTTTATCACTTTCCTCCCTCCAAACCAAGTCTAATAAGGGATGGGTTAGTGGTTAAAATTTTGAGCATTTGTGTTAAAAATATTAAGTTAAAAAAAATTTAGTAATTTAAACATTTAAATTGTACTTTTAATTTGATTGAAAAGCATTAAATTCTTTAAATTAAAGGGTTTTTTAAAAAAAGAAGTGAAGATTTTTAAAAGAAAAATGCTACGATTACTTTTTTTAATACTCTTCTTTAAATATTTTTTATTTAATTGAGAACCATATGATATAAATTTAATATGATTAATTATAATTTTAAATTTTAAAA